TGTTAGTAATTACTACATCTACTCTAGTCACGTGTCATCTCAACATATTTAGTGTAACTCGCGTAGTTAGATTACAACATAATAATATTATTCTTTAAGAGATTATAAAACTCTTTACAAGCTAATGAATAACTGTAATAATGTGTAAAATTAACATCTTCATACATCATTACAAGTAGACTGACCGTGTGACTGTGTCTGAGACCAGGACCAGATTTTTTGATAGTCTCATTACCAATTCAACTGATTCGATTACACAGTTTTAACATTAGATAGTAGTCTCATACTGTTTCAGTGAGACTTACTGTCTACTCTTATCACATTTTTCAAATAAGATCATGATTTTCACTTCTCAATTTAAATTATTTTTATTGCTTTAAATGACTTTAAATCTCATTTGAGTGTTATCAAAAAGCATTACTTTTTAAAAAATTAAAAATAGTCTAAAAAAACCTTAAAATGTCTAAAAATAGTAACTTTATGTCAAGAATGGGACTAAATGGAACCAAATGAAATCATTTTCTTATTTTTTTCAAGTCATGATTCCATTTTAAGATCTGATATATAGTCACTTTGCATGTTTTTTTGATGACTAGTCTCAGTGAGATTCACGCCAAGAAATGTATGAGACCAGATCAAATGGAATCAAATATGAAATTCATAGTCTCAGCGGCCAGTCTAATTACAAGTGTGTCTAGATGATTTATTAAGTGATTGAACTCATGATTAATTTAAGATCTGAGAGAACACCTGACTTAATAAAAGAATATATATCTTCAAGACAGAGAAATGAGAAAACATCAGAATAGCAGATATAGAATCACATATTATTATCACTATCTACGACAAACTGAAAAGTGACTATCTCAGAGACTTATGAGATGAATAATATAATTATAAAAGAGCAGTCTGATAAGTTCAATAATAAATACAAAGACTTAGTTAAAGATATCAGTGAGATATCAGACAATGTAAACAACTTAAGTAATTAAAATAATAATAACTCTGGGAGTAAGAAGACTTATATAAGACTAGACATTACAAGATTTCAGTATGAGATTGAGTAGATAAAGATTAGTAGAGATGAGATCTTTGCAGATGATAAGATAAGAGTAGATCTGACAGAATATCTTCAGTAGAAAGAAAAGATATCTGTTATAATAAAAGTTCTTAAAGAATTCAGAAGCTAATAAGATCTATTAAAAGATTAATAATTCTCACTGAATTCATTAACTACTTAATGTGAAGAGAGGAAATTCTTTTGACTACAGAGTAGTCTGAAACTAATAATATTCTTGAAGATAATAATCTTAAAAAGAATATCGCTATAAATATATAATATTTCTGAAAAGAATACCATCTTTAATTATATAATTACATGTAATCTGCAATTACTCTGCAGATCAAGACTCATTTTACTATACTTAAGAAGTGCAAATTATTAGCTTATACTCTATAAATGTAAGAATAAGCACTTGCAGGCAATTATTCAGGTGTTTGCAGCTTGGTATGATATGTACTGTTAACTACTAAAAGTATTCACAGTAGAAAGATAAAATGTAGAGATTAAATGTATAATAGCATTCAAGCTGAGTTGTAAATAGTATTTATAAACTTCAGTTTATATAGTTGTGTATAGTCAAGAGCTCTTATAAGTATAGATGAAGATCAGACTTATAAAGGCTTCTGCATATAACTCTGAACACTGAATAACTATCTCACTAAGCTTAAAAGTATACAGAATAGCAGCAGAAGATGTTACATCTCAGTCACTTATATATCTATGTCAAAGAATAATAATAATACAGATGCTATGAATTGAGTAGACTTGAATATCTATATATAAACAAGAGTCTCTGCCGCCTGAACAGGCTTCTGAGTCCCTGAGATTGCTCTCAAAGAAGTCATCAATCAATATTAACAAGAGATATATATCAATTATAACTAATCAGAATATATCACTTTCAACTGCTAATCAGTCTATCTATCTTCTCATTTAAAAGAAAGATCAATGCTGGCAGTTCATATCAATCACATTACATTAGAGAAAGATTCAGAAGATCGCTATAAGAATATCTTAATAAAACAGGGAAAAGATTAGCTTCTGCTCAAACTCACAAGCAGAAGCTTGAAGAGATTAGATAACAATAATTTAAAGAGAAAATAGCACTGAATACTTGAAACAGAAGTTAAATATTCTCTAATAATAATTAAATTCATGAAAATGATATTCACAGAACTATGAATCTTACACAGATCTCTGTTAATACATCTAAAATGCTTTAAAAGAGCTTCTGATAAAGTCACTGATAGCAGAATTATATAATAATCTACTTCATCAGTCTAACTAATATTAAAAAAGCTCTAGAAAGATTATTCTGTGTTATAATAATAGATTTTTATACAAAACTCTCTTAATAATATTACAAATACTTAGATGTCTTCTGACAAGATAACATTACAAATCTATCTCTCTTACAAGGCTTAGAAGTGAATCACAGTATCAAGTTAGAAAAGAAGAATGATAAGAATCTTAAATCACTGCAAGACTCTCTTTATAATATGTTCTGAGATGAACTTCTTCTTCTTCAGAAGACACTCAATAATCTGTTAAATAAGAAATTCATATATATTAGTAACTCTTCTACTGCAGCTTCTATTTTCTTTGCAAAGAAATTAGATAAAGAACTCTGATTCTATGTGAACTATGAAGAACTGAATAGATTAATAAAGAAAGATTATTATTTCTTATCTCTCATCAATGAAATTCTAGTACATATCAAGAAAGCTCAATAATTTACAAAGCTAGATATCATCACTGTGTTTCATAAGATTCATATCATCAAAGAAGATGAATAACTTACAGTATTTTAAACATAATATAATCTCTTTGAATGAGTAGTCACACTCTTTAAACTAACTAACATTCTCAGTATATTTCAGAAGTATATCAACTGAGCACTCTGACATTTTCTTAATAAGTTTATATCTGCTTATCTTAATAATATTCTTATCTTCACTGATGAGTCTAGAAAAGAATATCAAGAACATGTATAAAAAGTATTATAATAATTATAAGAAGCAGAACTACTGATAGATATAGATAAGTATGATTTTAAAGTTAAAAGTATAAAACATCTAGATTTTATCATAGAAGCTGATATGAGAATCTGAATGAATTCTGAGAAGATCTCTGCTATTCTTGAATAAGAGATCTCATGCACTGTGAAAGATATATAAAGCTTCATTGAATTTACTAACTTCTATTAGTGAGTTATATAGAATTTCTTAGATATTACTAGATCACTCACAGAACTTATGAAGAAGAACTCAGTATTTCAATAATTAGTAAATACTGAAGTTATATTCATACAGATAAAGAAGATGTTTACTAATATCTCTCTACTGATAATATTTAATTCTGATTATAAGATAGTTATTGTAGCTGATTTCTTCAGCTATATCACAGAGAAAGCTATATTATAATATGATAATGAAAATATCTTATAATTATACATCTTTATATCTAAGAAACTGAATTCTGCTGAATGCAATTACAAGATCTATGATAAGAAACTTCTTATGATTATATAGTATCTAGAAGAATGAGACTCTGAGCTCTGAAGTATCTTCAAATTTTACATAATCACAGATTATAAGAATCTCAAGTATTTTATAATCACTTATAAGCTTACTGAATAACAGATGCAATGATCTGAGCTATTAAGCTGTTTTTATTTCATAATACACTACTGCTCTAGCAGTGAGAACTCAATAACAGATGCTCTTTTATAATAAGAGTAAGATATACCTTCTGATATAATAGATATCTACTGAATAAACTGAGAGTATCAGCTCTTAAATCTGAAAATGCTAGTTAATCATGATAAAATATCTCATCACACTATATATACATCTTCAATTAGAATACTCTCTCTCTGAACTGTTACTGATAACTCAACTTCTTTCAAATCTATGCTGAATAGACTGGCCGCTGAAATCATGAATTTCACATTTGATCTCATTTGATCTAGTCTCATACATTTCTTGGTGTGAATCCCGCTAGGACTAGTCATTAAAAAAACATGTAAAGTGACTATATATGAGATCTTAAAATGAAATCATGACTTGAAAAAAATGAGAAAGTGGTTTCATTTGATCTCATTTAGTCTCATTCTTGGCATAAAGTTACTATTTTTAGACATTTTAAGGTTTTTTTTAGACTATTTTTAATTTTTTAAAAAGTAATGCTTTTTGATAACACTGTGATTCAAACGTTGCTTGAGCCAGCGTATGATTACAGGCGTACACCGGCTTCTTATATATCATACACTAAATTAATTAGTGGCTGCTATGACCTCTTTACATTTGTAAGCAAGTTCAGAAGCGGCTGTGTTATTATCTGATAATTGTACATTCTTCTGAATTATATTCTCTCTCATCAGATTCAGTCACACTCATGTGATCATGACATCTGTTCTAGCTTCATGCGGATTAGTGTGTTACTAGTATTTACAATTATGTAATCTATCTCTGATTCAGCTAGCATTTTATATACACTCTTATAAAGAAACTTTCACTATATTATATCACTCATTCACTAACTTTTTTCATTCTTCAACTATCTTCTTCATCATCATCATCATTAAATGTTATTATCTCATTCAAGATTTCTATCTCTTCTTCTATTCAACTCTTTTCTATCTGTTTATCTATCATATTGTATATGTTTCTGACAATGACTCTCTATTCTCATAACAAGTGTCATCATAGTGCTCATATCAGGCAGTTTGTTAGCAGTAAGTGTAACACATTGTGAAACATGATCAGAACTTGCTTATCTTCTAATAATTGTTAGAATATATTATCATGAGTGACACATCTTCTTCACCTTCTCATATGCTCTTGATTATTTTTCTTCTCAGCAGATTTCTGATCATGTTTTCTGACATGATTTTGCATGAATGCAGATGCTGATATGTTTGTTTTTATTCACATAGAATTTTCATATGTTGACAGATTCATTTTCACTGATGATAGTGAACTTAATATTGAATCATTGATTAAGAACTTGAAGAACATGACAATAAAGAAATTGTTTATATTATGTGTGACTAAGTCTCTCATGTCTCTCTCTACTCTCTCTGTTTCTTTCTCTGCTGCTTTCTCTCAATCTTCTACATCTGCCTCTGTGTCTGCTTCTTTCACTCTCACTATCTCTGCTTCTGTGTCTGATTCTCTCACTTCTGCTATCTCTGCTTCTTCTGATTCTGCTGTCTCTGCTTTCATTATCAGCTCTCCTTGTTTCAAGAAGATGTTGCATAGACTTAATAAATCATGTTTCTCAGTATATACACTCTCACTCTTCTTACTGATCTCTAGAACAATTTATTGTATGAAGACTGTATATAACATAACTATCTAAAGCTCAGTCACAGACATTAATTATTACATTCATTTTAAATATTTATGATAAAGTAATTATTCATTCATATCAGAGAATCATTCTCTCTCTCAACAGTATCAAGATTATAAGTCTTTTTCTTTTTCATCTTTTCTTTCTGATGCTGATTTTTCTGTTTTTAGAGAAAATTATTATGAGTTTTATTATGTATGAAGTCATGATATTCACAGATATTAAGAAACTTTTTATAACTGTAAAGTTCAATATCACAGAGATATTCACTCTGACAAATTTCTTCAGAATGATAGATCTATATCAGTCTATTCTCTGATATCTATCAACTGACTTCATGATGCAGATAAAAGATATTCATATTTTCAGAAACAGAAATACAGATGTTGTACTCTTTTACACTCACAGATGTGAGACTTATACATCTTATCTAAGATGTTATTATAAGAATAAGCTGTTTATATACTGTATTCTACTTCCTGCATTTTCTTATGTCTCTCTCTCTCTTTCTAAGAAGTCTCATGTGTATTGTAATTGCATGTATAATTCTAAGATCAGTAGATGTTTATTCAGTAATTGTTACTTCTGTCTTTACAGTTTTATACACTAATAATAGTTCTTAGTTACTTCAGTGTCAGAGATCATTTTAATCAAAGATGATAATACTGCTGAGACTATTCTCTCTCACTTTTAAGCTTCTTCTATCACTTTCTCTTTCTCTTCTGCAGGGAAGATTGTGACACACTGAATTATAAGTATTTAGTCTCAGATGACTTCTGCTGTCATTCATTCAGTTCTATATCTTCTTCTTCTTTCATTTCTTTCATCTTCACTCTCTCTGTTCTGACTTCTGATTCCGCAGGTCTCATGCTCTTCTTCAATTTTTCTATACATATATATACATATTTCTATATTAGCATTCCAGTCAATCTTGTGATAAATAACATTAATATCATACACAGAGCAGTAGAGAAATTGAAGATATACACAGTATTATTATGAGAGTGACTTACAGCTCTCAAATCTCTTACAGATCTTGAGTTTTGAGATTTTCTTTATTTTTAGCATTTTTCAGATGATATGATATTGAAAATAGATTAAACATGTAGTGTATGAAAATGAATGAAATATATATAATAATATTTGTCTTTTACAGCTGACTTTTACAGTTGATAATCAATTCATTATTTCTTTTCTTTCTTACACTTTTTTTTTATTTACTAGCTACTACTCTTATATAATCTCTATATAATATAGTATTCAGTGACTAGATTCAGCAGCTTTCATCTTTTATAATTCTATCTTATACATTATACTGTTTCTCTTCACTCACTTAGATTACTACAGTAAATAGCTTATCAAAACTAATCTCATCTGATCTCTGAGTGTTCTCAGAGATTGAGATAGCTTAATCTCACATATTTATAAATGTTTCAGATGCTTCATCCTCTGTTATCTCTGTAATTGAACTGATATAAACAGTTAAATTTAACTCTGAATTTCTTTTTCTTCTGTGATCTGATCTATATATAAGTCTGCTGCTTTGAGACTGCTCTTTATCACATTACACTCACTGTCTGCAGCATATTATCATATAATCAGCTACAGTCTTATTACTTATTGAAGTGTGATATTCATCTGATTTCTTCATTTCTTCTCATTCTTTTCTTATAATCATGAAAAGATCAGAATAAGTGAGATTATCTAATTCATAAGCATCTATAATTTCTCTTACTTCATAAGACTTTTTAATTATAAGCTTCTTCTTTTTCAACACTGATAATAGTGCTGTAGATAATTATAATTCACTCAAGTCTTGTATCTTTACTTTTATAAAATATAAATTATTTATTAAGTTGTATAAGAGCTGTCTCTCTGATTCTTTCAATGCATATGTTCTCAGAGAATGTGATTTGAGTATTTTATATAACTCAAATTATCTAAATTAAAACTTCTCAGAACTCTTATTATATATAAAAACTCACATTCTTATCTTGAGACTTGATTTCTTAACTAGTGAGTCTTGTATTCTTTTCAATTGAATTGTTTAGTTCAGAAGTAACTTATTAGCTTTTGCACATGCATGACTGATCTCTTTTAATCTTGATTTCATATTTACAACTGTTGTATCTGCAACTGCTACTGCTGCATCTGTAACTGCTGTTTTCTTTCTTATCTTTTTCAAAGCATTCTTCAGAATACACAGATACAATTCATACAATAGATAAAATAATGAACACTTAAAGACTGCATGCTGCTGAATTTATGTGACTAATAGTGCCTGACTGAGATATTTATCTCATAATCTTGTAGACTTGCTCACTAGATATTTCATCAGCATATTGTCTAAGATTTCATTTAAGTGTTTCATCTTCTTATTCATTTATAAATGATATGATGTTGTTCTATGATGTCTTGTCTGTAACTGACTCATGAAATGCCTCACTGCTTCTTCTACAAGATTCACACTGTTATCAGTTAGAATCTCACACAGTATTCTATAGTTGATATAGATCTCATTATATAGAAACTTCATCATCATCTTCTCTATTATCTCTGAAACTGCTTTCATGACTGATCAGTCAGTAGTGTAATCAATAGCAGTGATTATTTATCAATTTTTATTTAGTATTTACAGTAATATGTCTATGAGATTCATCTCTCATCATTCAAATAATTGTATCATACACTTCATCTGATATTACACTTTCTTGTATTCTAATCCTTTCTTAGATTCTTTCACAATCTAGTAATTCAGGCACTCATGAGCATATATCTGAATATTCTCAGCTATACTTGATCAGTATACTCTTGATTCAAGTATATTCATGAGTTCAGAGCTTTCTAAGTGACTGAATTCCTTATACATGTGAGTTATCAAGTCATATCTAAATAAATGTTCTAGATAGAGAGCTTTCACATATTCTAGGTCACAGTAAAGCACAACATTATTTTTCAATTTTCTCAGCTTAAAGTTTAGAAGCATCTCTTCTACTACTTTCATAAGACACTTATTATCTAATATCTTGTCATTCTTCAAGTGAGAGATCATTGTATTCATCTATTCTGATTTCTTACACTCTCTTAATATATTTAATATAAACTTCTCTTGTACCTGATTCACAGAACTCTCATTCATGAAATTGAGTCTATAACTGATTGCATCAGATATCACAGTGTCTGATTTCTTTCAGTATTTGATATGAAGATTGTACACTTGAAACTCTGAGATTCAACATACTAAGTGTTTGAAAGGTTTTATTATTGATTGTAGATAGACAAGGCTTTTATAATTCATAATCACTATTGTCATATGCCTGTTGTTGATATATCTATCTCATAACACCAGTATGTGCTTAATTGCTAGCAATTTCTTTTCATTCACTGAGTAATTGAGCTCAGTGTCTGATAGTTTTCTATCATCATATGTTATCAGATGCAGCTTGCTGTTCTTACTCATCTGTAGAAGAGCATCTCTGATAGCTCATTCAGATATATTTATCTTGATATAGAAAGATTTATTACAATCTGATTAAATAAGCACTGATGATGTTATTACACATTCTCTCAGTGTGAGAAAAGCCTCTTCACACACAGCATTTCAGATGATTAAATGAAACTTCTTCTTTCACAGATTTGCATCTATTTCTCTTAAGAGATCTGAGAGTGATGCAGATATTCATGCAAAATCCTTGATAAATCTGCAGTAATATAAGACTAATCTAAGAAACTATTGTATATAATGTACATTTCTCAGCTGCAGTCAATTCACTATGACATTCAATTTCTCTAAGATAGAGTATATACAGTCATCACTCACTATATATTCTATAAACTTTAACTCTTCTATTTCAAACATACACTTTGTTAATTTGATATAGAGCATATACTCTGTCAGAGTTATAAGCACTTTATTAAGATACTTCAGATATTCATTATATGAGTTTGAAAAGACTAGAATGTCATTGAGATATACAAGATATGAGATTTTATTCTGTTTATGAAGAATTGTATTCATCATTATTTAAAAGATAACAGATGCATTTATTAGACTGAATAGTATTATCAGAAATTTGAACTTCTCTCATTATATATTAAACATGATTCACAGAACTGACAGTTTGTCTCTACAGATCTATCAGTATTCTGAGAGAAGATTGATCTTTAATAGATATCAAGTGTTTTCAACTGTATTTAACTGTTGTTGAATCTGTGACAGTGAATATTCATTCTTGATTATAAGCTTGTTAAGTGCTTAATAATTAATATACATTTATTACTCTTCATCTGTCTTTTTCATGAATAGAACTGAAAAGTCTCACACACTTGATAAGAATTGTATGAGATCACATTCTAGAAGGTCTGTGATCTGACACTTCTGTTCTTCAAGATGTATTTGTGACAGAGAGTATGCATTCTGATTGACTGATTTTGTATCTCTTATGTCAATCTCATATATGAATCCTCATTCTGATGATAATTTCAGTGAAAGATCTGTTTAAAAGATCTTTTCATACTTCTTCAGAAGCTTCTTCATACACTTGTTCTTCTGTATATTCTTTATCTTAGTTTTCTTCACTTTCAGATTCTGTATGATATATAGAATGCTTTCAGATAAGATCTTGCAAATCATTCTCTTTACTTATTAGTGTGTAAGCAGATTTAATTCTTCTATATCAGAGACATGAAATGTTCTTCTTATATTAGTTGATAGAATTATATGAACTGTTTTCTTTCTATCAGTCAACTGCATATAACATGTATATCATTGAATCTGCAGATTGAATCTTTGAAATTAATTAAGTTTAAGAATAAGATTATATTTCACATTCTGCAGCTCTCACACTCAAATATAGCAAGATTATTCTTCAAAGTACAAGAAAACTCTTACTCTTACAGATAATATTAAATATCAGTTATCAGATAATCTTATACATCAGAAATTCTTCACTCAGCAGATCTCTTTCAGTCTTCAGATTATATAATTGTCAATATATTATATAGAAGCTTCTGTATTCACTAACACTTTTACAGTTATCTCTCAATTCTTATTCAAGTATCTCTTATATATTAACATTTCAGGTCTTAAAATATTGAGATAAACATTCACTTTGTTCTGACTCATATCTCAGTCAGAAGCCTGCTTTCTCTTGATATTCACAGAATTCAGAGAGTCTTCTAACACAGACATCTCTTTTACTTTGAAGACTTTTCATAGAATATCAGTAAGTATCTTCAAGCTCACTGATTCTGCTAGTTTTTTAACTCTCTTGCTTCTCTTAACTGTGCATGCTATATATAATCTTTTATATCATGATTTTAGTATCTGCAGTTGAAGTAAGCTCAATACTTATAATATCAAGATTTTCACTTAGAGAATTTCTTTTTCAGGGAATTCAGTGCTTTAGTGATGACATTCAGATCTAGATTCATTGTATCTGAGTGTGTAACTTGTATTATAGAAGTCTGATTATCTGTTCTTCACTGAAATATACTTAATTGTAGTATTTTCTATTATAATTGACTCACTTATTCTTATATAATGAGAATGTTATACACTTCTTTCACTATACTTAGTTACAAGATTAAGTATTTTCATTTCACTCTCAATTCAGATATAAGATCATGAATGAAGATCTGTAAATAGAAAGATATTAAAAGCTCTTCTGTGTTTCAAAGGTTGCTTAAGCCAGTGTATAATTACAGGTGTACGCCGGCTTCTTATATATTGTAATATTGTATGCTAAATTAATTAGTGGCTGCTATGACTCTCTTTACACTCATAAGCTAGTTCAGAAGTGGCTGTGTTATTATCTGATGATCGTACATTCTTCTGAACCACATTCTCCCTCACCAGATTCAGTCACACTCACATGACCATGTTATATACCCTAGCTTCATGCGGATTAGCTCATCACTAGCATTTCATAATTATGTGACCTATCTCTGATTCAGCTAGCATTCTGCATACACTCTCACAAAGAAACTTTCACTATATTACATCACTTATTCACTAACTTTTCTCATTCTTCAATCATCTTCTTCATCATCATCATCATTGAATGCTATCATCATTTCATTCAAGATTACTGCCTCTTCTTCTATTCAACATCTTCTATTCATTTATCTATCACATTGTACACATTTCTGGCGATGGCCTCTCATTCCCACAATAAACATTATTGTAGTGCTCATACCAGGCAGTTCATTAGCAGTAAGTGTAATATGTTGTGAAACATACATGATCAGGACTTGTTTATCTTCTAACAATTGTCAGAATATATTATCATGAATGACACATCTTCTTTATCTTTTTATACACTCTCAATCATTTTTCTTCTCAGCAGGTTTCTGATTGTGTTTTCTGACATGATTTTGTGTGAATGCAGATGCTGATATGTTTGTTTTTATTCATATAGAATCTTCATTTATTGACAGATCTGCATTCACTGATGATAGTGAACTCAATGTTGAATCATTGATTGAGAACTTGAAGAATGTAATAATGAAGAAATTGTCTGTGTTATATGTGACTGAGTCTTCTGTATCTCTTCTTGCCTCTTCTGTCACTTCTTTCTCTGCTGCTTCTCTCTCTGTTCCTTTCTCTGCTACTTCTCAATCTTCTACACTTGTCTCTGTGTCTGGTTCTCCTGCTCTCACTACTTCTGTTCCCGCGACCCTCACTCCTGCTACTTCTGCTCTCATCACTGCCTTCATTACTAGCTCTTCTCATTTCAAGGAGATGTTGTATAGGCTCAGTGAATTACATTTCTCAGTGTGTACACTCTCACTCTTCTTGCTGATCTCTAGAAGAATTTATTGTATGAAGACAGTGTATAACATGACTATCTGAAGCTCAGTCACAGACACTGATTATTATATTCATTTTAAATATTCATGATGAGACAATTGTTTATTCATTTCAGAGAATCATCTCTCTCTTCAACAGTATCAAGATTATAAGTTTTTTTATTTTTTATCTTTTCTTTCTGATGCTGATTTTTCTGTTCTTAGAGAAAATTATTATGAGTTTTGCTGTGTATAAAGTCATGATATTCACAGATATCAAGAAGCTTTTCATAACTGTAAAGTTCAATATTGCAGAGACATCTGCTCTAATGAATTCCTTCAGAATAATAGATCTGTATCAGCCTATTCTCTAGTATCTGTCATCTGACTTTGTAGTGCAGGTGAAAGATATCCATGTTTTCAGAAACAGGAACACAGATGTCATACTCTTTTACACTCACAGGTATGAGGCTTGTATGCCTTGTCTGAAATGTCATCATGGAAATGAGCTGTTCACACACTGTATTCTGCTTTCTGCATTTCTCTGTATCCCTCTCTCTCTTTCTGAGAAGCCTTGTGTGTGTTGTAATTATATATACAATTCTAAGATCAGCAGGTGTTCATTTGATAATTGTTATCTCTGCTTTTGTAATTTCATATACTAATAATAGTTCTTAGTTGCTCTGACATCAGAGATCATTTCAATTGAAGATGATAACACTGCTGAGACTACTCTCTCCTGCTCTTAAGCTTCTTCTGTCACTTTCTCTCTCTTCTCTGTGGAGAAGGTTGTGTGCACACTGAATCATAAGCATTCAGCTTCAGATAGCTCTCATTGTTCATTCAGTTCTGCATCTCTCTCTTTTATTTCTTCTGTCTTCACTCTCTCTGCTCTGACTTCTGGTTCTGCAGGTCTCACACTCTCTTTCAATTTTTCTACATGTACATGTATACATTTCTATATTGGCATTCCAGTCAATCTTGTAATAAATGACATTAATGTTGTATGCAGAGTGATAGAGAAATCAGAGACATACACAGTGTTATTGCAAGAATGACTTACAGCTCTCAAATCTCTTACAGATCTTGAGTTTTGAGATTTTCTTTGTTTTTAGTGTTTTTTAGGTGATGTGGCATTGGAAATAGATTAAATATGTAGTGTATGAAAATGAATAAGATGTGTATAATAACATTTGTCTTTTACAGTCTATTCTTACAGTTAATGATTAATTTATTATTTCTTTTCTTACAATTTTTCTTTATCTGCTAGTCACTACTCTTACATGATCTCTATATGATATAGCATTCAGTGACTAGGTTCAGCAGCTTTCATCTTTTGTGATTCTGTCTCATATATTATACTGTCTCTCTTCGCTCACTCAGATTACTACAGTAAACAGTTTATCAAAACTAATCTCACCTGACCTCTGAGCATTCTCAGAGATTGAGATGACTTAGTCTCATACATCTGCAGATGTTTCAGATAGTTCATTCTCTGTGATCTCCATGATTGAACTGGTATAAACAGTCAAATTCAACTCTGAATTTCTTTTCCTTCTGCAATCTGATTCATGTGCAAGTCTGCTGCTTTGAGACTGCTCTTTGCCATGTTACACTTACTGTCTGCAGCATGTTATTATACAATCAGCTACAGTCTCATCACTTATTGAAGTGTGATATTTGTCTGATTTCTTCATTACTTTTCATTCTTTTCTTATAATTATGAAAAGATCAGAATAAGTGAGATTATCTGATTTATAAGTATCTATGATTTCTCTTACTTTGTGAGACTTTTCAATTATAAGTTTCTTCTTTTTCAATACTGATAATAGTGCTATAGATAATCATAATCTGCTCAGGTCTTGCATCTTTGCTTTTATAAGTCATGAATCATTGATTAAGTTGTATAAGATCTGTCCCTCTGATTCTTTCAATGCATACATTCTCAGAGAATATGATTTGAGTATTTTATATAACTTAAATTATCTAGATTGAATCTTCTCAGAACTCTCATTATATACAAGAACTTATATTCTCATCTTAAGACTTAATTTCTTAACTAGTGAGTCTTATATTCTTTTCAATTGAATTGCTCAGTTCAGAAGTAACTTATTAGCTTTTATATATGTGTGACTGATCTCTTTCAATCTTGATTCTGCATCTGTGACTGTTGTATCTGTGACTGTTGCATTCACAGCTGCTGTTTCCTCTCTCACCTTTTTCAAAGCATTCTTCAGGATGCGCGGATGCAATTCATACAACAGGTAGAATGATGAATGCTTGAAGACTGCATGCTGTTGAATCTGTGTGATCAATAGCATCTGCCTGAGATATTCATCTCATATTCTTGTAGGCTTGCTCACTAGATATTTCATCAGCATGTTGCTCAAGATTTCATTTAAGTATTTCATCTTTCTGTTTATCTGCAGATGATATGATGTTGTTCTACAATATCTTGTCTATAACTGGTCTATAAAATGCCTCACTGCTTCTCTCACAAGATTCACATTGTTATCAGTTAGAATCTCACACAGTATTTCATAGTTAACATAGATCTCATTGTGTAGAAACTTTACTATCATCTTCTCTATTATCTCTGAAACTGCTTTTGTAACTGACCAGTCAGTAGTGTAATCAATAGCAGTGATTATTCATCAATTTTCATTTGATGTTCGTGGCAATATGTCTATGAGGTTCATCTTTCATCATTTAAACAGTTATATTGTACACTTCATCTGATGTTGTACTTTCTTATGTTCTAATTCTTTCTTAGATTCTTTCATAATCTGATAATTTGAGCACTTGTGAGTGTACACCTGAATGTTCTCAGTCATGCTTGATCAGTATACTCTTGATTTGAGTATATTCATAAGTTCAGAGCTTTCTAAGTGACTGAATTCCTTATGCATATGAGTCATCAAGTCACATCTAAATGAAGATTCTAGATAGAGAGCTTCTACATATTCTAGATCATGGTAAAGCATAACATCATTTTTCAATTTTCTCAGTTTGAAGTTCAGAAGCATCTCTTCTACTACTCTCATAAGACACTTATTATCTGACATCTTGTCATTCTTCAAGTAAGAGATCATGATATTCACTTATTCTGATTTCTTGCATCTTCTCAGTGCATTTAATGTGAATGTCTCTTATACCTGGTTCACAGAACTCTCACTCATGAAATCAGGTCTGTGATTGATTGTATCAGATATCACAGCATTTAATTCCTTTCAGTATTTGATATGAAGATTATATACTTGAAACTCTGACATTTAACATACTAAGTGTTTGAAAGGTTTTGTCATTAATTGTAGATAGACAAGACTTTCATGATTCATAATTATCATTGTTATATACCTGTTGTTAATATATCTATTTCATAATGCCAGTGTGTGCTTGATTGCTAGCAATTTCTTTTCATACACTGAGTAATTGAGCTCAGTGTCTGATAGTTTCCTATCATTGTACATCACTGAGTGCAGCTTGCTATTCTTGCTCATCTGTAGAAGAGTGTCTCTGATAGCTCATTCAGATGCATTCATCTCAATGTAGAAAGGTTTATCATAATCTGATTGAATAAGTACTGAGAATGTTATTACATATTCTCTCAGTGTGAGAAAAGTCTCTTTACACACAGTATTTCAGATGATTGAATAACACTTCTTCTTTCACAGATTTGCATTTATTTCTCTTAAGAGATCTGAGAGTGATGCTGATATTCATATAAAATCCTTGATAAATCTATGATAATATGAGACTAACTCAAGAAACTATCATATATAATGTATGTTTCTCAGCTGTGATCAATTCACTATAATATTCAATTTCTCTGAGATGAGGTGTATACAGCTGTCACTCACTACATATTCTACAAACTTCAACTCTTCTATTTCAAACACACACTTTGTTAATTTGATATAGAGCTTATACTCTGTCAGAGTTGTAAGCACTTCATCAAGATGCTTCAGATATTCATTATATGAGTTTGAAAAGACTAGAATGTTATCAAGATATATGAGATATGAGATTTCATTCTGTTTATGAAGAATCATATTCATCATCATTTGAAAGATGACAGGCACATTTGTCAGACTGAATGACATTGTCAGGAATTCAAACTTCTCTTATTATGTATTAAACATGGTTTATGAGACTGACAGTTCATCTACACAGATCTGTCAGTATTCTGAGAGAAGATTAATCTTCAATAGATATTGAGCATTTTCAACTGTATTCAACTGTTATTGAATTCATGACAGTGAATATTCATTCTTGATTGTAAGCTTATTGAGTGCTTAATAATCAATACATATTCATCACTTCTCATCTATCTTTTTCATAAATAGAACTGAAAAGCCTCATATGCTTAATGAGAGTTATATGAGATCATATTCTAGAAGATCTGTGATCTGATACTTCTGTTCTTCAAGATGCATTTGTGACAGGGGGTACACATTCTGATTGACTGGTTTTGCATTCCCTGTGTCAATCTCATATACAAATTCTCATTCTAGCAGCAATTTCAGTGAAAGATCTATTCAGAAGATCTTTTCATACTTCTTCAGAAGCTTCTTCATATGCTTGTTCTCTCACATATTCTTTATCTTGATTTTCTCTGCTTTCAGGTCCTGTATGACATACAGAATGCTTTCAGATGAGATCTTATGAATCATTCTCTTTGCTTATTAATGTATAAGCAGATTTAATCCTTCTATATCAGAGATGTGAAATGTCCTTCTCATATCAGTTGATAGAATTGTATGAACTGTTTTCTTCCTATCAGTCAACTGCATATGACATATACATCATTGAATCTGTGAATTGAATCTTTAAAACTAATCAAGTCTGAGAATAAGATTGTATTCCACATTCTGCAGCTCTCGCGCTTAAATATAGCAAGATCATTCTCTGAAGTGCAAGGAAACTCTTACTCTTATAGATGATATTAAATATCAGTTATCAGATAATCTTATGTATCAGAGATTTTTCACTCAGTGAATCTCTTTCAATCTTCAGATTATATAATTATTAATATATTGTGTAGAAGCTTCTGTGTCTGTTAACACTTTTGCAGCCATCTCTCAATTCTTACTCAAGTGCCTCTTATACATTAGCATTTCAGGTCTCAAGGCATTGAGGTGAGTATTTACTTCCTCATCTGCACCTCAGTCAGAAGCCTGCTTTCTCTTTGTATTTACAGAATTCAGAGAGTCATCTAACACGGGCATCTCTTTTACTTTAAAGGCTTTTCATAGAATATCAGTGAGTGTCTCTGAGCTCACTGATTCTGCTAGTTTTTTAACTCTCTTGCTTCTCTTGACTGTGCACACTGAGTGTAATCTTTTGCATCATGATTTTGATATCTACAGTTGAAGCAAGCTCAATGCTCATGATATCAAGATTTTCACTCAGAGGATCTCTTTTTCAGAGAATTCAGTGCTTTAGTGATAGCATTCAGATCTAGATTCATCACA